CCCTTCATGGACGAGACTTCACTTTTTCTCTTAAATGTTTAATGTATTGCAAGGTTATTACCATTATTTTACAGAAGATACAACGTAAAAACATAATTCTTTTTAGGAGAAGTAGTTCCATAAACTTTGAACGTGGATCATGATTGGTTTAAATCTCTCAAGCTTAGCACGATGTGCCAACTTAAGTAAATTCAACAAAAGAAAGTGATCTTCAATAATAATCAAATACAAACAAAAGATAAATAATTTTATAAGTCTATCCGACTTGTTGAAATTATCATGTCATATACTTAACTACATACAATGATAATTTCAAAATAATTTCAAATTTTCTAATAACAAAACTCATGATTTCAAACAAACTTCTAATGCATCATCTTTCTCAAAAGGCACATTCACAGTGTCTCAAATCCAAATTCATTATTTTCAGTATTCTCCTTTTTCCACCATTCACGATCGAAAGTTTTGCAATCGAGGACTTGAGGCGAGAGATCTTGTTGTTTTGTGCGTTCCCCTTTCTCCTCCCAGCAATGTGCCGTTGGTTGTGTCTTTTCTATGGGGAGAAGATGTGTATCTATTGTGGATCGAAGAGGTGTGTGTAAAAATGGGGAATAACTTCTTATAAGGTCCAAAGGAAAGAGTTCATAACAACTGTTTGGAACAGAAAAAGATAATTCAAGTTCTGAACTATAATACCTGACATGTCTAGCTGTTCAACATGCAAAATGCGTTTGGATTGTAACAGCTCTAGCTGCTAGACGGAGGAGTAAACTTATGCTACCAAGAACAATTAGTGTGATCAATTTTTCGGTTATCATGCGATTTTTTCTAGTAACAGTTTTTCTGTATAAACAAAAGTTATTTTCATCGGTCTTTTTCATTTTAATATAGTACATGTATATGTATAATCATAATTCACCACTTTTGAAACTTTCTTAGGATCTTCAAAATTCGTTACACAACTTTCATTTTTGCTTAAAGTAAACCCACACTCAAAATATTACTCATATTAATGATATCGTGCATAAAGGATCAAGATCTCCGTATCCCACATTGAAAATCTTACCCAAGAGCCAAAACAAAAGCACCGAAAGATTCTTCCCTTTGAACATCACGCAATAAAAACACTTATATGTTGGATCGGTTGATGTATAGTTGGATTTAGAATTTCCCTTGGTTGTGGGTATTAGGTACTAGTGTTAGGTATATGATCTTCTCAGGCCAAAATGACATGGTCGGATTGAAATATTTATTTTTACTCCAATTTAAACAAATCATATTTAATTCGTTAAACTTTAAAATTCAAAACCTCGTAATCTCAACAAAATTACATATATACTTAAGTTCAAAGTACAACAATCATAAAAAGTACCAAGTCAAAAAATATAAATAAAAACGATTAATTAAAACAAAAATTTGCTAAATTGTATATGCAAAATCACTTACTTTGATAATACAGTTTCACAATCACATTTAACATTATAATTATACAATACACACATAGAAAAAGGAGGCTGCGAGAAGGAATGGAGTCGAGCGCATTTGCATTTTTATTTACCAAGACATCGAGTATTTCTTTTATCGTTATCTTATTGACGGAATGTGATGTAATAAATCATAATATAATCACCGATGGTCTGATATATAATTATCACATTGAGCTAATTTCCTTATAGAGAAAATTTGATCCAAAATATTTCATTGAGGGCCTAGCCCCGTAGGGTTGCTGGAGACAACTCCGAATGACATATACAACTTTACTTGCTATGTCACCTAAGCCATAAATCGTTAATGTCTTTAACTTGATATGTAAATTATATATTATTCGATCGTTTACCATAAATGTAAAAATAACGCGCCACATTGAAATACTTGAAATCGTATATTAAATGGCATAACTCATATTCTAGCCTATAAATCAACTCGGCAGGACCAAAGTTTACCTACCAAATAATAAAATGGAAAATCCTAAGAGATGCCTTGATCTTGTTTGGGTTCTTCTTATGATTTCAATTATGACACCTCCCCAACCTTTCTTCTATTCGGAAGCGGAGCCATTTCCCAAATACATCGTGCACATCGTAGATATCGGTCTTGAAAACCTCATGGTTGGCTGTGGACGGGCGTATCAACGACCTTTTTTTAAAACGATTAACAATGGTAGCGAGTACCTTATTGAGTTTAATAACGATGATGTTTACACCTGTGCTTTCAACGCTTTCAACTGGAGAAATGAACATACGAAATTCGAAGTTTTTAATCAAACAATCAATAAGCTTTGCATCGGAGGGGTTAGTAAGGATTGTTTTTGGCGAGCAACACTCACCGAGTTTGATTTTTTGGAAGAAACTTGGGAAACGATGTACACTTGGTAAAAATTTCTTTTGGTATTTAATTTTATATTATTTATTGTACCGATAAAAATAAAATTATCCAAGAAGTCCATATATACATAATTACAACTACGATATTTTTCATCGCCATTCTTTTGAATATCTCTGTTGTTAATTATCTTGTTGTTAATTATCGGCTTGTAAAAAAATGACTATGGAAGTTACAATATATATTCATTTGTATGAAGCCAAATAACTTGGCGTATTAGTGATGGAATCTCATTGCTATTTTAGCGACGATGTAGTTTTTTTCACTCATTAGTATCTTAATGTTAAATGATTACATTCAACAAATGCATTTTCCGAAACCAATATCAAATGAATTGGAGGGTCATAATATTTGCAAAAATGTGCTAACGGTTTATATACAAAGTTTAGCTTTTTGATCATTTTATGCATGAAATTACTTTGACACATATTTTATTTCCCTTTATGGACGAGACTTCACTTTTTCTGTTAAATGTTTAATGTATTGCGAGGGTATTACCATGATTTTACAGAAGATACAACATAAAAACACAATTCTTTTTAGGAGAAGTAGTTCCATAAACTTTGAACATGGATCATAATTGGTTTAAATCTCTCAAGCTTGTAGCATGATGTACCGGCTTAAGCAAATTCAACAAAAGAAAGTGATCTTCAATAATAATGAAATACAAACAAAAGATAAATAATGTAATAAGCCTATCCGACTTGTTCAAATTATCATGTCATATAGTTAACTACAAACAACGATAGTTTCAAAATAATTTCAAATTTTCTAATGACAAAATTCATGATTTCAAACAAACTTCTAATGCATCATCTTTCTCAAAAGTCACTTTCACAGTTTCTCAAATCGAAATTCATTATTTTTATTATTCCCCTTTTTTCACCTTTTACGATCGAAAAATTTTCAATCGAGAACTTGAGGTGAGAGATCTTGTTATTTTTTGAGTTCCCCTTTCTCCTCCCTTGGTTAGCATTTGCGGTGGTTTGTGGGCTTTCTATGGGGGAAGATGTATATGTATTGTGGATTGAAGAGGTTTGTGTACAAATGGGGAATCGCTTCTTACATGTCCAAGGGAAAGAGTTCATAACAACTGTTTGAAACACAAAAAGATAATTCGAGTTCCGGACTAAAATACCTGACATAGCTGTTCCACATGAAAAATGTGTTTGGATTGTAACAGCTCAAGCTGCTAGACGGAGTAGTAAACTTATGCTACCTAGAACAATTTGTTGATCAATTTTTCGGTTTTTCGTGGAGTTATTCTATCAACAACAGTTTTTCTGCGTAAAAAAAAGTTACTTTCATCTTCATCGTCTTATTCAATTTCATATAGTATATGTATATGTATAATCATAATTCAACACTTTTGAAACTATTCTAGGATCTTTAAATTCGTTACAACAACTTCATTTTTGTACATATATCTCCTTAGTGTCCTCGAGTATTATCCCATATGGGTTTTGTGATTGGCAAGTATGGGTTACAAAAAATATAGAAAGTTAACCTACACAAACCTCAAGATATATAGGCATTTAGTTGATTATATTTTCATCCTAATTTTTGTAACTTATTTTTAAGAATAGTCAACAATTTTGATTAATGGATGACGCACATGCCTAGGCTTGTTTTGCTCAAAGTAAACCCACACTCAAAATATTACTCATATTAATGATATCGTGCATAAAAGATTAAGATCTCCGTATCCCACATTGAAAATCCTACCCAAGAGCAAAAACATAAAGCACCAAAAGATTCTTCAGTTTGAACATCACGCAATAAAAACACTTATATCTTGGATCGGTTGATGCATTGTTGGATTTAGAATTTCCTTTGGTTGTGGGTATTAGGTACTAGTGTTAGGTATATGGTCTTCTCGGGCCAAAATGACATGGTCGGATTGGAATGTCTATTTTTACTCCAATTAAAACAAATCATATTTAATTCGTTAAACTCTAAAAATCAAAACCTCGTAATCTCAACAAAATTATATATATATAATTAAGTTCAAAGTAAAACAATCATAAAAATTACTAAGTCAAAAAATATAAATAAAAAGATTAATTAAAACCACAATTTGCTAAATTATTTATGCAAAATCATATACTATGATAATACAGTTTCACGATCACATTTAATGTTATAATTATACAATACACACATAGAAAAAGGAGGCTGCGAGAAGATATGGAGTCGAGCGCATTTGCATTTTTATTTACAAAGACATCGAGTAATTTTTTTATAGTTATCTTATTGACCGAATGTGATGTATTAAATCATAATATAATCACCGATGGTCTGATATATAATTATCACATTGAGCTAATTTCCTTATAGAGAAAATTTGATCCAAAATATTTCATTGAGGGCCTAGCGTCGTAGGGTTGCTGGAGACAACTCCGAATGACATATACAACTTTACTTGCTATGTCACCTAAGCCATAAATCGTTAATGTCTTTAACTTGATATGCAAATTATATAAATTATTCGATCGTTTACCATATACGTAAAAATAACGCACCACATTGAAATACTTGAAAATGTATATTGAATGACATAACTCATATTCTAGCCTATAAATCAACTCGGTAGGACCAAAGTTTACCTACCAAATAATAAAATGGAAAATCCTAAGAGATGTGTTGATCTTATTTGGGTTCTCGTTCTGATTTCAATTATGACACCACCCCAACCTTTCTTGTATTCGGAGGCGGAGCCATTTCCCAAATACACCGTGCACATCGTAGATATCGGTCTTGAAAACCTCATGGTTGGCTGTGGACGGGCGTATCAACGACCTTTTTTTAAAACGATTAACAATGGTAGCGAGTACCTTATTGAGTTTAATAACGATGATGTTTACACCTGTGCTTTCAACTGGAGAAATAAACATACGAAATTCGAAGTTTTTAATCAAACAATCAATAAGCTTTGCATCGGAGGGTTAGTAAGGATTGTTTTTGGCGAGCCACTCACCGAGTTTGATTTTTTGGAAGAAACATGGGAAACGATGTACACTTGATAAAAATTATTCTTTTGGTATTTAATTTTATATTATTTATTGTACCGATAAAAATAAAATTATCCAAGAAGTCCATATATACATAATTACAACTACGATATTTTTCATCGCCATTCTTTTGAATATCTCTGTTGTTAATTATCGGCTTTTCAAAAAAATGACTATGGAAGTTACAATATATTTTCATTTGTATGAAGCCAAATAACTTGGCGTATTAGTGATGGAATCTCATTGCTATTTCAGCGACGACGATGTAGTTTTTTCACTCATTAGTATCTTAATGTTAAATTGATTACATTCAACAAAATGCATTTTCCGAAACCAATATCAAATGAATTGGAGGGTCATAATATTTGCAAAAATGTGCTAACCGGTTTATATACAAAGTTATGATTTTTGATCATTTTATGCATGAAATTACTTTGACACATATTTTATTTCCCTTTATGGACGAGACTTCACTTTTTCTGTTAAATGTTTAATGTATTGCGAGGTTATTACCATGATTTTACAGAAGATACAACATAAAAACACAATTTTTTTAGGAGAAATAGTTCCATAAACTTTGAACATGGATCATGATTGGTTTAAATCTCTCAAGCTTGTAGCATGATGTACCGGCTTACGCAAGTTCAACAAAAGAGAGTGATCTTCAATAATAATCAAATACAAACAAAATATAAATAATTTAATAAGCCTACCCGACTTGTTCAAATTATGATGTCATATAGTTTAACTACAAACAACGATAGTTTCAAAATAATTTCAAATTTTCTAATAACAAAACTCATGATTTCAAACAAACTTCTAATGCATCATCTTTCTCAAAAGGCACTTTCACAGTTTCTCAAATCCAAATTCATTATTTTCAATATACTCCTTTTTTCACCATTTACGATTGAAATTTTTTCAATCGAGGACTTGAGGTGAGACATCTTGTTATTTTGTGAGTTCCCCTTTCTCCTCCCAGCAATTTGCCGTTGGTTGAGTCTTTTCTATGGGGAGAATATGTGTATCTATTGTGGATTGAAGAGGTTTGTGTACAAATGGGGAATCACTTCTTACATCTCCAAGGGAAAGAGTTCATAGCAAATGTTTGGAACACAAAAAGATAATTCGAGTTGCGGACTAAAATACCTGACATGGCTGTTCCACATGAAAAATAGTTTGGATTGTAACAACTCAAGCTGCTAGACGGAGTAGTAAACTTATGCTACCTAGAACAATTTGTGTGATCAATTTTTTCGGTTTTCGTGGGGTAATTTCTAGCTAGCAACAGTTTTTCTGCGTAAAAAAAGTTTTTTTCATCGGTCTTATTCAATTTCATATGGTATATGTTTAATCATAATTCACCACTTTTGAAACTATCTTAGGATCTTTAAACTTTGTTACACAACTTTCATTTTTGTACATATATCTCTTAGTGTCCTTGAGTATTATCCCGTATGGGATTTTGTGATTGTCAGGTATAGGGTTAAAATATAAATATAGAAAGTTAACCTACACAAACCTCAAGATATATAGGCATTTAGTTGATTATTTTTTATCCTAATGTTGTACCTTATTTTTCAAGAATCATCAACAATTTTGATTGATGGATGACGCACATGCCTAGGCTTGTTTTGCTCAAAGTAAACCCACATTCAAAATATTACTCATATTAATGATATCATGCATAAAGGATCAAGATCTCCGTATCCCACATTGAAAATCTTACCCAAGAGCAAAAACGTAAAGCACCGAAAGATTCTTCCCTTTGAACATCACACAATAAAAATACTTATATTTGGATCGGTTGATGTATTGTTGGATTTAGAATTTCCCTTGGTTGTGGGTATTAGGTACTAGTGTAAGGTATATGATCTTCTCGGGCCAAAATGACATGGTCGGATTGAAATGTCTATTTTTACTCCAATTTAAACCACTACAAGAAAAACGCGATTTTGCTAGGGAAGATCGCTATGAAACGTTTTTTCGTTGTTAATCTGCAATGGATCGTGCTATGGAATGTCGTTCCATAGCAATGTTGCTACCACATTGTCTACGAATTTTATTTCTGGTAGCGAGAGTGGGAGTTGCTAGGGAAAATGCTACCTATTCCATATCCGTTGGTATTATGTTACCGATAGTTCTATGGAACAAAAATTCGTAGCAATTTTCCAACGACATTTGTTACCAAATCATTTTCCGTTGTACTGCTGCTATGGAATTCATCATTGTGGTTACTATGCAACGGAGTTTGTGGCAGAAACCAATTCCATAGTTGAATTGCTATGGAAGTACCATTCGTAGGTATTTGCTAGGGAATTTTGCTATGGAGTATGATTTCGTTTGCTTGTTTTGCTATGGAACAAAACGCGTAGCTAATTTGTGACGACATTTATTGGTTTGAATGAAATGTTTTTGAATTGGTAATATGTGGCATAAACTAATGGCTAAAAAATGTAAAAATGAATTATAAAGTAGATATTGCTGGCAAGCGGACTCGAACTTAAGCTTATGCTAGAAAGGGGCGGTTAAGCCAGTTGTGCTAATCAAGTTGTGTATAATTTCTTGAAAACATAGTGTATGATGAATAATTAACAACGAATTCATTACAAACTTATTTTTAATTACATTAACCGGACATGTTAAAGTATATAGTCTATGTAGATTATTTTCCTTAATAACGAATTCATTACAAACTTATTTTTAATTACATTAAGTATACTTCATCACAAAAATAACATGAGTTTTACGTATACTTCATCCTACTCAAACAACATAGCAAGGAAAATGACTAAAATGCCCTTTTAACAGAATGATGTAAAACAAAAACCAAAATAAAATTATAGTAGTACTATACAACTTCATATACAATACAATAAGAACAATAATATTCATGTCCAATCTATTATCAACCATTAATATTTTTAAGAAATATACAAAACACCATACTCTACATACCAACGACAAACCGTGCAATATCTTTGTCGATCCTCATCCTCTTCATGGCCTATTGCAAATGCACCTTTAACAGAATGTCGTGGGTCTTCACATTGGAATGTGATGTTATTCGTTGTAAGTCTATGAACAACATCAACAGCCCACAACAACTCTTTGGCACTATCAACAACACCCGTGTACTCCCCATCATCCGGAACTACCCATCCAAAATAGGTATCAAGTAATTGTAAACCTACACATTAAAATATCCATCAATTAATCCAATGTATCCTTTTCAATACAACAGTAAATATTATACAACATAACACAACTAAATACTAACCCCAAACTACAAACATGCCTTTAATTAACTATATATATATATATATATATAATTTAATTTACATATATACCATATATACATACCTTCATCACATTGATGAGGCCCTCTTGAAATGTAGATCATTCCAAGCAAATAAATTGCCTCAAGATGATCTTCATTTGCTGCTTGTCTCAACAAAGACAATCCTAAATCAAAATGGCCATAATAGAAGCACTCTTCCTGTCGACAGAATAACAATATCAATAGATAACATCAATGACACAAAATATTAATAAATGGTATAGATTACATATAATTAATGAAATTACACATACAATTCCTTGTCTGAACATGGTTTCAATGTTATTATGCAATGCACATGTGCGTATAAATGAATCAGCATTCATATTTTCGGGACCCATTCCTTCAATCATGTCAATGCATGCTGTTCTGAACACTCGAGGATCACCCCCCGCTTCATACATCTTCTTTCAACTTCAAAAATTTTAATACACAATAAATAACAAATAAAGAAAGTTGTATTTCATCAAATATACATTCATTAGTTGATGTTTATTGAGAATTACCAAAGTCTTGCAGAGACGATGTCTTTCGCAGATTCTGACCCTAATATTACAAATATCCGACTCAAAATCTCTAATGGGAGATCATCTAACGAACGGCGACTTCTAGTAATCGACATTCTATTAACAAAATAGACATTGGAGTAGTTGATTTCAATTTATTTTTAAAAATTAAGCGTAACTATGAAAAATAGTGTAACAGGGTATGGAAAAAAAATACTTACTTTATGATGATTTGGTCGCGAGGTGTACAGGAGTGTCTATTATCGGAGAAAATCGATTTTAAGAACGATTACCCTTCGACGATTTGGGGGGTTTTAGTGTTTCTATGGAGATTTATCGTCCGGAATAGTTGAGACGTTTTGAATGGTTGAAGAACTGATAACGCCGGTGTGACGTCAGAGGTATGATGGCGCCTCAACGCTTCAGAGTGCAAAAAGACCAAAGTGCCCTTGAAATCATTTCAAATATGTGAATACGAAGGATATTTGTGTCAAAACACATTATTCAAATATTATAACCTTTTATAGGTAACAGTGGAATTTTGCCACATTTTTTTGTTAACTTTGACACTTTTGGCCCTTGGAAACAAAACTTTTATATTTTGGTAAAAAAAAACACAAAAAAAACTTTAGATTTTTGCCACAATTTTTTAGCCAGTTTGACACTTTTAGTCTTTATTATAAAAAAATATACATTTGGCACAATATACACGAAAAACATTTAGGTTTTTTCCACAATTCTTTAGCCACTTTGACACTCTTGGGCTTTACAGTCAATAGTTTTACATTTTGACATAAAAAACACAAAAAAAATCCCGGGGCGAAGCCCAGAATTTCTTCCTAGTTTACATTTATGTATTGATATTAAACCAAATTACAAATGAACTTCATCTCAAAAAACATTAAACACAAAAACATCTAGTCATTATCTTCTTCCTCCTCTTCTTCTTCATCCTCTTCTTCTTCATTGCTCGATGTACTATACTCATAACTACCCTCGTTGTCAGGAATACCATCATTGTCGTCCTCATGAATTTCACCTTCTTCATCAATATTATTTTCATTATCTGAACCGTTGCTTGACATTTCATGATCATCATCAAAATTGCTTGTATCGGCTAGACTTGGTATAATGATTTCATTTGATTCAACTTCATCTTCTTGGAA